GCTCGTCCTGCGGGGTGAGGTGAGGCGAGGCAGGGCAGGGGGTGCCCTTGTCACAGGGCAAGGTGAGGCGGGGGCCGGTGCGGCTGCTGCCTGACACCATCGGCCCCTGCACACAAAGGCCAGCGAGCGCATGGGTGCTGGGATGCATCCGGCCATGTGGGACCTCGGCGAGTTAGCGGACGGCTGGTTGAAGAGGGACAGTTGCCATCTCCGGGGCATGGCACACGTGTCCACAGAGAGGGCTCTGAGTGCCGCCTCTGGCACACGTGCCATAGGTTCGCCACCACTGTCTTATGCTGTGCCACGCCTTTGTGAAGTGGTGGTTTTGTTTCTCCAATGCACAAATCTGTACATTGGTGATGGTTTCACCAATTCTCTTTTGTGAACGATCCGAATTTCAGAGAGATGGCGGGGTCAAACTCATGCTGCAGAACTAGCTATGGCTCATTAAAACTGGCAAGATTCACTGTCTCATGGACATTGCATTAAATGCCACACAGGTCATGCTGTTTATTACTTTTTCCTTCCATCCTGTGCCCATGTGCTTAGTTGCCAACAGACAACGATCAAACAGCCAGCTCTAATCCATTAACCTTGTGCCGGCAGATAGAAATTCTTATTTTTTTATTAGCATTATCCCATTATTTCCCCAACTCTGCTTTAAGATGCCACTGTACTTGTGGAGAAAAAAAAACCCAATTCCCTCACAACCTTAACCTCTTAAAAATGCACATTTAGCACTATGATATTCATTTTGGCACAGAGCTAACTTCCCAAGCCAAAAAGATATCCAATTTTGTACGTGGGTGTATTTTTTTTTAAAAAAAATCAACACTCTGGGGTCATGAATAAAAGCAGAATGAGTTGAAGGGGATATTTTAATGGGAAACATATGCTGGGAGATATCAAAAATCCCAGATCAGCTTTTTTCTCTCTACCTGATGCATCCCAGGTGTGCTGCTGTATCACTTCCATCTAGCAAAATAGATTTATATTGGCTAGAGAGTCCCACATACCACAATTAGAGCCGGTTGCCCTGAAGATTACACGTCTCAAATAGGGGTTTGTTTTTTTTCCCTCCCACTAAACTGAGATCAGGCAAATTATTCTGACTTTTTAAAAACTCTAAACATCTAATTACAGGTAGCCCTTCACTTATGAATATAATGGAACCTATCAAATACGGACGTAAGTCCTGATGGTCATAAAGCGGGTCATCATGCCCCATTTGACCTTTTTTTTTGCAATAATCATTAAGCAAGCCCATTGTTCTCTATGGGGTGAAGTAAACAATGGTTTTGAGGAAAAATATTGTAAATTGTAATTACGTTAACTGCAGGATGCTGTAAACAACAACAATCAATGTAGGCCAGTTTTGAGTGACCGAAACGTGGCCATGGGACCTTGGGGGGAGGGGCGGCCATCAAAACATTGGGGGCTTTTCATCAGGCTCGCCTGATACGCCAGTTGCGCCCCTTTCTGGATCGGGACGCCCTACGCACAGTCACTCAAGCCCTCGTTGTTTCCCGCCTGGACTATTGCAATGCTCTCTACATGGGGCTCCCCTTGAGGTGCACCCGGAGGCTCCAGCTAGTTCAGAATGCGGCTGCGCGGGGGATTTTGGGGGCCTCT